AAGAAAGAAAGAGAAAGAAAGAAAGAAAGAAAGAAAGAAAGAAAGAAAGAAAGAAAGAAAGAAAGAAACTGATTTCATAAAGCCATACTGAGAAAAGGTCAATGAATGAATGAATTGATTAATTAATTATAATATAATCATTCTATGTAGCATTACATTGTATGCATCTATCATTATTCACCTAACCAGTCACCAATTGAATGGTCATTTAAGTACTTTTGGACCTTTTTAAATGATATACAGTGTTATACTAAAGAATTATTTACATAAAACAATATGTAAATATTAGAGGGAACTTGTAGAATAAAACCTAGAAGTGGAATTTCTGGGTCAAAAGCCATGTATGTTTCAAGACTGATAGAAATTATCAAGTCACCCTTCATAAAAATTATATCAAAGTGTGACCAAACATATATGACAATTCCTTCTTCTCCCGTCGTTTCCTACATGAACTGGACACACCGTGTACAAACCTTGTAGGCCTAGACAAAGTGAATTAACCTCTTTAATCCTCTGTGTGCTCTGCAGTTGCAACCGAGGGGAAGGGAAGGACTCACGCAGTATTTGAGAGGTTGAATCAATCAGACTTAATGCTCGTTTGGCTACACTGGGGAAAGATGACAGGAAACTTGACCCCAAATTTGTCTGCAACTGAATAGATGATAAGGTTACTAAGTTCCAAGAGGCAGAGCAAAAAGCAATTTTCAAAAGGCAGGTAATCAGTTTGATTTTTGACACACTGAATCACAGGTGTCTGTATATCTGGCAACTGGTAAAGGTAAGTAGTGAGAAAAAATGATCCATCAGGAGAGTCACACAGGCTATTTGTTTGTTTGTTGTTTTATCCCCATAGTGTACTTAACCCCATCTAGATGCATTATAATTACACCATAGCCAGGGATCTTTCGGAGCCAGTCAATAAGGGGGGCAAAGAAATAGGACTTGATCATTTATGCTGCAGGAGCAAAACAATTCTGCTCACAACTACGACTACCTCTCCCCCGTTTACACCATAACACCCTAAGCTCTACCGTATTTCTTCTTCTTCTTACCATAATTCAAGAACTCATTTCCACGCCAGACACCTCCCTAGAGGCTTTCAGATAGCTTAACAGTCCATTTTCCTTCTAAGCCAAGAGAACAATTTTACATGAAGCTGCTTCCTGTGTCACAGGAGCAGCTTCTTATGTCACATGAAGAAGACACCTTCTCTCTAAAGTAGCTGTTCAAGGTCACCAGGAATTCCACTTACCTCTTGCTATATAACAAACCATCCAAAGCTTAGTTGCTTAAAATAACCACTGTTTTTCTCAATAGTCAGCAATTTAAAGAATGCTTCATGGGAACAACTGGTCTCTGCTCTACTTTGCATTGGCTGGAGTTGGCATTGGAGGCTGGGGCAGAGCTATACAAAAAGCCAGTGCTGGCTCTCAGATTCTATGTGGCTGGCTGGCTGGCTTGCATTCTTGATACTAGGGATTGATCTCAGACCCTTCGTTCATACAGAGCCACAGCATTTTTTATTTTTTATTTTGAGACAGGTTTTCACTAAATTGCCCAGCCTGGGCTCAAATTTATGATCTTTCTGCCTCAGACTCCTAGAGTGCTGGGATTACAGGTCTGCACACCATACCCAACTCTGCTTGGCTTTCTCAAGGCTCAATGTCTGTGTTTTAAAGGTGAGGATCCCATAAGACAGAGATCCTGATGGAGACACCGCATTCCCTAACTTATGCTCCAAAGTCAACCAAGTCACTTCTCCCACATTCTGTTCATTATAAGTGAGGTGCTCAGGCAAGCTTATGTTGATGGAAAGCATGTGAAAGAATTTTCTGACATGAGTTAAGGGCTACAAGAGTCACTTTTTCCAGCCAGCAGAAGGAGAGGAGCATCTCAGCTCTCATAAGGCCAATCTGGCCAGTTCAGAGACATCAAGGTGCCATGACATCCAGTATAAACTCAACTGCATCCTTTCAGGCACTCTATGGGGTCTCCTGCAGGCTGGCTCTGAGCACCGTGCCCAGCATGACCTTCCCTCTAGCTGCTCACTGCGCCCTCTCTCCCTTCATGATGCTGCCTGGGCAGGTAATCCAACTTCTGCTCATATCAATATACAACTTTGTTGGCCTTCCTGGCTTCCTCATCTAGAGGAGCTTCTGCAGAGTCATAAGCTTCTAGAGTGCTAACTATGCATCACACATATTTCTAAGTATCTTTCACAGGATCTTAAATTGTGCCAGACCTGTATTGTAGGGTGGAGAAAAGGAGGAAAGCTTTTTCCTTCTTTACTTCCCAATAATACCTGTCCTTATAAGATTCACTCTTTTATATTATGCAAATTATAAAATATACTACTCATATCTTGCAGAATCACTTGCAAGTTATGTGAAACATCAGATTCTAAGACCCTTGAAAAGTTCTTCAAATCATCTAGCACATGGGTGTTCTATTTTTTCCTGGAATTTTACAAACACTGCCTCATTTAATTTACATGATAAATTTACTTGGATGGCACTGCTATTATCCCTGTTTCTTCCGTAAGAAAAATACAGCTAAGAGTATGATATCCCCAAGTTAACACCAGCCCACAAGCCCAAATCTGGGTATTCCTGAGCCGAAGTCCAGGGATCCCATCAATGAGGAATCTTGAATCCAGAGATAAGTAAAGACTTTCCCAAGATTAGGACTTGAGCATCCTGATTCCTAATTGAGTGTTCTGCTCAGAAATTTCAGATAAAACTCTGTCTTTACTAAGTTCAAGATTAGAATCCATTCACTACCAACCCATAATTTCAGACTACATCTTTTATTTTCATTCCCCCCCCCTCAGGCAGGAATTCAAATAAATGGGAAAGAGGGAAAGAGCCACAAAGAAATCATAGATAAAGGGAGTTCTGATAATACCATCATGCCACATGAAAAGGTCAAATGGTACTCTGTAATAGGCTGCAATCTGAACAACCCTAGCCATGAAATATTGGGCAATTTTCTAACCTTTTTAGGTGTAGCTGCAAGTGCTTTGATTCTTGTGACAGTCTGTATCTATATTTGAAACTAAAAGAAAAAGACAAATATGTTTCTAGGTACTCTGGCCTCGTGGTAGCAAATATAACTTCTGGGCATGTACAGTGGACATTGGTGGCTGCTCACTCTTTTGCTCATTTGCTTTGTTTTTCTGTCAAATATCAAAAACTGGGGCTGTTCCATCTCAGTTTATCCTGGTAGGAGACCCTATCTACCTCTGGTATAAGCAAGTAAGACACACATATTCCAACCTCCTTGCTACTAGGTCATAAGAACTGAGCTTGAACAATCTAATGCTTGTACCCTGAGTTTTTAGTAAAGACCTAGAGATATAAGCAACCAGAAATGAAGAATATATTCTGGAGGTGGAGGCAGCAATGGCAGCAGAATCTTCCACTTTGCAAACAGAAAAATCAGGGATGGCATCCTCGATGCAGTGCCAGCAGCAGTGCCAGCTGTAGGACCCAGCACTCCACAGAGAACTCAGTGGCATCTTCCCAATCTGACACCTAGCATGGTCTTAGCTGTGGTGGTGGCTGCTGCCTGCTCCCCCTTGTCGCTGTCCATGTCCTGATCCTGGATCTCCAGGATTCCCCGCAATTCTGTGAGCACAGAAATATCACTTGAATAAAATCCCTCACTTGCTGCTTAAGTCAGCCAAAGGTAGTTTATTTTGCTTGCAAACACAGACACCAACACATCAAAGAATAACATTAAAATACAGTAAAGAAATGAGACAGGAGGAAACAGCTCCTCATAATTAAACATTTAACTTAAAGTTATTCATGTATAAAAGAGTTGCAATATTTCTCCACTATCACATTTTCACAATTTGTAAAGCAGGATCAAGATGTAGACTGATTTCTTATCCACATCGAACTCTCCATCTTTAGATGTTTCTGTTCTTGTCAGAGATACCATCAATTTCCTCATCACTCAAGTTGAAAAACCCACAATTACTTCATCTCTTCTTCCTTATAGCCATTAACCAGGTACTTCCTATACTCCTTTATAATGACCTCTCAGGGCTCTACCTGGATTCTTCTGAGTGGTCAAACTCAACACAGGCATTTATCACTTCCAACACAAGCCACTGCTCTTGCTTTGTAACTGGAATGCTTGTCTCCAATATATCCTATACCAAATTAATTTTCCCAACACACTGCCTGCAGAATAAAACCTAAACTACTCAGTATGGTGTGTGAGACCCCTTAGGATTTGAAGTCTTCCTATCTTCAATTTTAACCTCTACATGCTTTTATATATTCACTGTAATAGTATCTAACCAAGGAACATATTTTTAAATGTAACATACTGACTTTTAAAATGGAAATCAAAAGGTATAGTACATGCTTGTATAAAGAATATAACTACCTAAAATTTACCAAAAAAATTGCAAGAAGATTTTTATATATCTACAATGTTATAATAACAAATACTAAATGTAATTAGCATGTATAAAATGCTTATTATGTGTTACACTATATTCAAAATACCCTATTGGTGTTGTCTGTATAAATAGTACAGCAACTTTTTAAGGTAGGTGTTATAACCTCATTTACATGTAGACATACTGGAGTTTTGAAAGGCCAAAAGGAAATATTTAAAGTCATTGATCTAATAAACGCAGAGCCAAAATTCCAATCAGAAAATAAATTATTAAATAATTTTATAAATAAGCATATTTTTTCAAAGCAGATTATCACAGGAATAAAACAACTAAATGAATGTATAAGTTATTTTGTAATATATGTTTCAAATTGATCATAGAAGAAATAATACTGTTAGCATTGATTTCCTAATGGACCCTCACAACATCTCATAGTCTGTGTACGTTCTAAGCAAACCCTGTCGTCCTCCACAATAACTCAATAAGCTTCCTAAAAGTGCAGATTTTCAGGTTCCACTTCCACTGAGTCTGGCACAGAACTCAGTACCAGGCATGCTACTAAGTGTCCGTAGCTTGCTGCTGATATGCTAAAACTGGTCTGAAGGTCTAACTTTGAAAAATCTTGAGGCAGGGGTCCTCATCGTAAGACCTGAGTTCTGTGTCTTCTGGTTCTTTCACTCACTTACAGAGTGACTTTGAATAATTATTTTACTAATCCTCAATTGCATTCTCTTTTAGTGAAAGAGAATGGCATAGATGGCCTTGCCCTCTATCACATATCCCATTCCCATTATATTAATCCAGGAAGACAAACACAGGTTCTCTCAGATGCTCACCCTGTGAAACTGAGAGATCCTGCCTGAAGCTCTGTGTCGGGAAGGATTCTGAGGTGCTGTTTCAGGACAGTAGGAAAAATCAGAAGACCACCCAGAGATGTAGGTCATCTGTGTGTGAAAGGGATTAGAAATATGTGAAGTATTCAGGGTATTTGACAATCTCAGCACAGTCACACAGATCTTTTTCCCTCCTTCAAATAGACCATCCCTTTACTCGTTATTGGCCCTCTAATCTGACTGAAATTACACCTCAACTTTTACTTCAAAGGCTCCATAGATAGTTTCTTGTCACCCTTTTCCAAACCCCAATTTTTACATTTCCAATAAGTAGCTGCTTCATTCTGTCTGGTAACACAAGCAGTTTCTTATCTACACTTCTCTCCTTCTCAAAAGAAAGGTTACTGAATTATTGTGAATGCTCAGAGGAATAACAAATGTAAAATGTCTATATGTGATAGGGAAATAATAATTATTTATTGCAGCCTACTCAGCTCTAGAATTCTAGCCTTCTGAGGTGAATGTTGTTAAACTTTGCTGATGGGAGCAATAGACAAGCACACAGGAGATGAAGCTGGGTCTCAGAACCATGGACAGCTCAAGAGACCTCACCGCTTTCCTGGTGCTCTGCACAACCCACAATGTTTTCCAGCCTCACCTCTCTTTTCCTTTCTTTTTTTTCAGAATTTCAAAGCAAGATAATAGGATACTCCGCTCTCTTTAAGAATAAATAAATGGCTCTCTCTTTACACTGGTGGGATCCCCCAGTTTCTGGGATATCTTTGTCTATTCAGAGCCTTTAACATCCTTATCTAACTATCAGAGATTACCACAATACAGCAACCCAATAGAGTCCAGGCTCTGAGTCAGACTACTTGATTTTGATCCTGGTTCCCCAACTTGTCAAAGAAGTATAATCAAAGAAATAACAGAGAAGGTAAGATTCCACACAATGACATTAGGCAAATTGTGGGATACTTACTGCCTCTCTTACCTTCTTAGTTAAATAACTATGGTACTAACTTCATGGAATTTTAATAAGTACAAAAAAGAAACTATGAGAGGAGCACAAAGATGGTAGAGTGGTAAGCAGCAGAGAAAAAGCCTCTGTGAGAGTTGCCATCCAGACACTGAAATATAGCAATGTGAGGAAAGCAAGGAGGGAAGTAGGTACCCTAGACCCAGGAAGGATCTGAAGCATGAATTGAAGCACATAGAGAAAGTGGGGAAACTTCAATGAAGAAGAAGGAGGTAGCTGGCAGTGCATTCTCCCTGAAGTTGCACACATTGCATGACCAGAGTGATTCAAACCTGCAGACACACAGTGACTGCTGGTGATCCCAGAGGTCTCCATGGAGATACACAGTAGTGAAGGGGAGCAGTGGGCATGAAGGACTACACTAGCTGGCAGTAAGTGCTGAGGGCTCAGTCATCCTGTGCAAGACAGCAATTGACCAGGAGTCATCTTGGAGAGGGACCAGCTGAGCTCAAAACTCTGAGCAGCTGCTGGTTCCACTTAGTAGTTCCTAGCAGGGCTCAGGCCCAAGGAAGGTGCCCTGATGGCTGCAGGTTAAGTGAGTCTAGTCTCAGTTAGAAGGTGCAGACTCACTGAGACTAACCACTACCCTGCCAAAAAGCTACTGCTGGCTTTCTGGAATAAATCAACACAGATTAGAACTCTGTCTCCACATGTTGTCTACCAGTGACAGCAGAGACAAACCTGGAAATGGACTTTTTAAACTCTCTCTCTCTCTCTCTCTCTCTCTCTCTCTCTCTCTCATTTGTTGTGGTTTTTGCTTTTCATTTTTCTGTCTTTTCTCTTCTTCATTGTTTGATCTTGTTTTTATATGAGTGTGAAAGCAGTTTCTCATCTCTTTGTGGTTGTGGTTCTGTTCTGTTCTTCTTTTTTTAATCTCTTCCTTCCCTCTTTTCCTGCAGTCTTCTGCACCAGTTCCCCAAAGTTAGTGTGATCCCCCTTTGCCATCCAGCCTTATTTCTAATCTCTCCCTCTTCTTCTACTTCTCTCCCTAACCCCTCTTAAATTTTAGCCCCTGAGGAAAAATGGACATATCTGGTTTGTTTCAGATTTTGTTACATAATCACAAATCTAGTTCATATGGTTAAATGTGGAAAATTAATGCTTACCTCAATTTGTCATTTTCTGGATGTTTGGTGCTGTTGTTATTGCTAATGGTAGCATTTTACTCAAAAATGACATAATTGTTCCAAGCAGCTATTCTTACTGGTATTCCAACATTGAGATTGACTAAGGGTCATAGAAAATACTGTGGCACAGTGCCGAAGAATCGGGGGCTGGGCCAAACAGGCAGCAACTTCCTATTCCCAATAAATTGAAGATGTAGGATCTTGCAACAGACTCAAAATCCAAAAACCAACTACACCTGGAAGATACCTCCAAAAATAGTCATTTCCTAAGGGTTCTAAATACTAGCTATAAAGCAACCCACCATAGACAATTTATAAGCATCACCCCAAGAATTAAACAAAAAAAAGAAAGTGAGAAGACATAAACAAGATGCAAACCCAGACATCCAGTTCACCAAAGGCAATGAAGTGGGACAATCCAAAAGCCACCCACCTGACCTCTCTGAAGTGGTAACAACAAAGAAATTGAATGAGGCTCTAGAAAAATCAAATCAGAAATAATTTCTCAGATAACTACAGAGATGGTGTTCACAATGAAAACCATGCTTAATGACTCTAAAACACATACAAGTAAAAAAAAATAGAGGAGTTTAAGAAAATTGTGAAAGCCATGAATACTCAGCATAGGAAAGAAATGGAATCCATAAGGCAGATTCAAGCAGATATCCAGGAGAATAAAAATTCCATTGAAAGTATCTACAGCATAAGCCAATGTGAGGATAGAATCTCAGATATAGAAGACAGGCTTGTAGCTAGCAATCATGAAAAGAAAGATTTCTTTAAAATACCAAGGGGCCATGAGAAATCAATAAAGCCGCTGTTAGATGAAGCAAAGAAGAATAACTTAAGATTGATTGGAATCAATGAAAAGGCAGGAGATAGCACAAATGATATTTTTTTAAAAAGCTATTCACAAAAATCATGGCAGAAAATTTCCCTGGTAGGGAAAAAGAATTTGACATACAGTTAAGTGAGGCATATAGAACTCCAATTAGCCATGATCAAAAATATCTACAGCCAGGCATATCATACTCAAGATTCCAGAAATTCAACACAAGAATACAATCTTAAAAGCTGTTAGGGAAAAGAAACACATCATCTATAAAGGAAAGCCCATCAGAATCACAGCTGACTTCTCAGCACAAACCCTCAAGTCAAAGAGAGCTTGGAGTAAAGTATTTCAAGCTCTAAAAGAAAAAAAAAACCTTCAGCCCAGATTGATGTATCCTTCAAAACTATCTTTCAAAACTGATGGAGAAATAAAATACTTCCATGACAAAGAACATCTGAGGAAATTTATGACCACCAAATCAGCACTCCAGAATGTTTTAAAAGACATTGTAGAAAGAGATAACAAGGACTACAACTCCATGTACCCCAATAGAAGAAATACACCAGCCAAGGCAAATAATTAAACAGGGAAGAGAAACAGGAGGGGAGGCAATAACAGGAATATAACATGACAAGGATAACTCAATACATATCAGTTATAACCATCAATGTTAATGGTCTCAATTCACCAATCAAAAGACACAGACTGGCAGAATAGATCATGAAGCAAGATCACAATATGCTGCATTAAATTCAAAATGAAATTCCCAGACTGAAAGTCAAAGGATGGAAAACAATACTTCGTGAGACAAGAACTCAGAAAAAAGCAGGGGTAGCTATACTCTTTGCAGACAATGTGAACTTCAAACCAAGAATGATTAAGTGAGACAAAGAAGGTCACTACATACTCGTAAAGGGAAAAATCCAAGAGGAAGAGATAACAATCATAGATATATATGTAACAAATACCAGTGCACCCAACTGTATAAAAGAAATATTAACAGGCATGAAAAATCAAATAAGCACTAATACAACTATATTGGGGATCTCAATACCCCACTGTCACAAAAAGATCAACAGACAAAAAATCAATAATGAAATATTAGAACTGAAATAAACTTTGGAACAAATAGATTTAGGAGATGTCTACAGAGTGTTCCACCCCACAATATCAGCGTACACATTCTTCTCAGTTGCACAAGGAATTTTTTCCAAAATAGACCACATACTAGCTCATAGAACATGGTTAAGTAAATGCAAAGGAATCAAAATTATCCCATGCATATTATCAAATGATAATACAGTGAAATTGGAAATCAATGGCCAAAGAAACCACAGGAATTTCATAAGCATATGGAAAATAAATAGCACCCTCCTGAACAACAAATGAGTCACAGATGAAATTACAGAATAAATGAGACAGCTTCTCATTATATACAGAATAAATGAGACAGCTTCTACAATTAAGATAATGATAGTAAAACATACTCAAACTTATGGCACGCAATGAAAGCAGTCCTATGAGGGAAATTTATAGCAGTGAATATCCATATCAGGAAAACAGAGCAAGCACAAACAAAAAACTTAAGAGTGAACCTCAAACTTCTAGAAAAAGAAAAGCAGGCTAAGCCAAAAGCTTGTACAAGGGAGAAAATTATAAAGATCAGAGAAGAAATTAATGCAATGGAGACTAAGAAAACAATACAAAGAATCAATGAATTGAAGAGTTGGTTCTTTGAAAGATTAAATAAAATTGACAGGGCCTTCTCCAACCTTATCAAAAAAAGAAAGAAAAGACACAAATCTATGCAGTTAGGAATGAAAAGAGTGAAATCACAACAGACCCTGCAGAAATCCAGAAGATCATCTATATCTACTTGGAGAACTTGTATTCTAATAAAATAGGAAATGCAGAAGAAATGAACAGACTCCTAGGTACATATGAATTACCAAAGCTGAATCAAGAAGATATAAAAATCTTAAGTAAACCAATATCGATCAATGAAATCAAAGATGCAATTAAAAACTTACCAACAAAGAAAAGCCCAGGCCCTGATGGATTGACTGCTGAATTCTACAAAAATTTAGAGAGACCTAATACCACTACTTCTCAAACTCTTTAATGAAATTGAAAGATAAACTGTACTCTAAAATTCATTCCTGCAACCAAACATTACTCTGATACCAAAATCTGAGAAGGATCCAGCTAAGAAAGAGAACTACAGGCCAATCTCCCTAATGAACATAGATGCAAAAATTCTCAATAAGATACTGGCAAATAGAACATAGCAAATCATCAAGAAGATTATACACCATGACCAAGTGGGATTCATCCCAGGGATGCAGGAATGTTTCAACATACATAAATCTATAAATATAATGTACCATATTAAAGAGTCAAGGACAAACACCACATGATCATCTCAATAGATGCAGAAAAAGCTTTTGATAAAGTCCAGAACCTATTTATGATAAAAACCTTACAGAAAATTGGAATAGATGGTCTATATCTCAATCTGCTAAAAGCCATCCATGATAAACCAATAGCCAAAATCATACTAAATGGAAAAAAAACTGAAAGCTTTCATTCTAAAGTCAGTAATTTGTTATGTACCTTTCCATTCTATCATGCCCTGTAATACTCAGAATATTGAAGTGGAATTCAATTTAAATTTTTAATTCAACAAAAATTTTCTATTTATTTAGAAAATAAATTTCCTTTATTTTCTAAAAAAATAAAATAAAATAAAATCAGGAACAAGATAAGGATGTCCACTGTCTCTACTCCTATTCAACATAGTCCAAGAAACTTTAGCCAGAGCAGCTAGGCAAGAGAAAGAAATAAGAGGAATAACAATAAGAAAGGAAAAAGTTGAATTATCATTATTTGCAGATGACATGATACTCTACATAGAAGACTCCCAAAAACTCACTAAAAAAATGCTACAATTAATAAACAAATTCAGTAGTGTAGCTGATACAAAGTCAACACTTAAAATCAATAGCCTTCCAGTATGCAAATAATAAACTCAGAGAGAAAACTAGGGAAACATCTTTCACAACAGTATCCAAAAAATGAAATACCTAGGAATCAATCTAACAAGGAAAGTAAAAGATGTCTACATTGAAAACTGCACTACTCTGAAAAAGATTAAAGAGGATATCAGACAATGGAAACTCATAAGTAAAATAAACCAGACATAAATGTATAAACATCATATTATCTCTGTAATGTGAGAAGATAAAAGCAAAAGGAAAGTTGTATATTTATATATAAAGGATAGATAAATATATACATATTTATATATATGTATATTTATATATAAAGGATAGTTAAAATAGTTTTACTACTAATTTCTCTTAGTTCATTGAAAAGATAGATTTGTGCTAATATTGGTTGGACAATTAAATGTTGATACCTTGTACTCTGAGTAACTAATTTAAAGATAACAATATGCAATATATTAACCATTGTTACCCTGCTGTCACATTGCTTTGGAATTTTGTTTTTGGGGGTTTCTTCTTTCAAATAAAAATAAAAAAAGAAAATGGAAAGATATCCCTTGCTCTTCGGTAGAAAGAACCAATATAGTGAAAATGGCCATACTTCCAAAAGTGTTATATGTATTTAATGCAATTCTGATCAAAATTCCAATAACATATCTCACAGAACTAGAGAAAACAATCCTAAAACTTATCTGGAACCAAAAGAGACCTAGAATAGCAAAGGCAATTCTAGATAACAAAGGCAAGACGGGGGCATCACAATCTTTGACTTGAAATTATACTATAAGGCTACTGTGATAAGAACAGCATGGTATTGGCAAAAAAACAGACCAAAGATCAATGGAACAAATTAGAAGATGCAGAAACAACTACAGACATACTCAGCCACCTTATCTTTGACAAAGTTCCAAACATATTCACTGGAAGAAAGATAGCCTCTTTAATAAATGGTGCTGGAAAAACTGGTTTGCATACTGGTTTGAATATTAAAATTGGATCCATATCTTTCAACATGCACTAAACTAAATTTGAAATGGATCAAAGATCTAAATATTAAAACAAAAACATTAAATCAGCTGAAAGAATAGGTAAAACTCTGGAAAACATTGGTATAGGCAAAGATGGATAAAACCCTGATTTCACAGGAACTATCACAAAGAATCAACAACTGGGATCTCATCTTATTAAGAAGCTTTTGTACAGCAAGAGAAACCACCAACAGAGTGAAGAGACAGCCTACAGTGTGGAAAAAATGTTTGGTCACTGTTCCTCAGACAAAGGATTACTATTGAGGACATATAAATAACTCAAAAAAATCAGACCTGCCAAATCTAAAGACCCAATCCAAAAATGGGCATGTGAGATGAACACACACTTCTCAAACGAAGAAATACAAACAGCAAAAAATATATGAAAAAATGTTCAACATCGTTGATCATTTGAGAGATGCAAATTAAAACAACACTGAGATCCTATCTCATGCCAGAAAGAATGGCTGCTATCAAGAAATCAACCAATAATGAATGCTGGTGGGGCAGTGGGGAAAAAGAACATTTCTCCACTGTTGGTGAGAGTGTAGACTGGTGCAGCCACTATGGAAATCAGTGTGGAGATTCCTCAAAAAACTAGGATTGGAGGTCCCATTTGACACAGCTATTCCTCTTCTGGGGATCTTCCCAGAAGAATTAAAAACATCATACCAATATATGTGCACCCATATTTATAGCAGCACAATTTGTGATAGCTAGATCTTGGAAACAACCCAAATGCCCAATTTGAGACTTTTATGGGTGAATAGATGCAACTCCAAACCATATTCATAAGTGAAGTAAATCAGACTCGCATGTATAAACAGCATATTGTCTCCCTAGTATAAGAAACTCAAAGAATAAATAAGATCCAACATGTACAATAGATATTGCACATTGGGAAGAAACTGTTCAAAAGGAAAGAGAAACTAGGATGAGGAAAGGAGAAAAGAAGGAAAGGAAAAGCAAAAAAAAAAAAAAAAAAAAAAAAAAAAAAAAAAAAAAAATATATATGCACACATGCAAGATAGTTAAGATCATTATACTGCTAATTTCTCTTAGTTCCTTGAAAAAAAAGGTTTGTGCTAATCTTGTTTGCACAATTAAATGCCTATATCTGAATAACTAATTTAAAGATAACAATACACAATGCATTAACCATTGTTACTCTCCTATTATCTTGTTTTGAAATTTTATTTTACTTCTTTTCTCTTTAATATATTTTTTTAAAAAGGATTGTTTACATATAACTGCTCAGAAAAGGCTGCTATGTCCTAGCACTCAGTGAGTATCACTGACAGCTATTAGAAGCTATGAGGACACAAGATTGTTTCTATACTGGCACTGCCACAGACTCATGTGACCTCAGGAAAGACCTTTTATTTCCTCAACTATGAAACAAGAGAGTTGGGTAGAGCAGATACTCTCCTGCATAAGAGCCACAACATCTGAAATGGTCTTTCTTATATCCCAATAAATGTTTCTCTCAATAAATTCTGTCTCTCTGTGCATCATCCTTGCATTCAGCCTGGGGATGCTGGGCATAAAAACTCTAGCTCCTCAGCTCTAGTTTCCCAAGTTTATTGTCCTGAAAACTAGATAACTCAGAAAAAGCATACAGCTTTCAGTATCCCTCCAGTCCAGACTTTGAGAGCCTTCCTCTCATCTAATTGCAATGCTAACACTCACTCAGGAACAAGAGGCTCTCAGAAAAGGAAAAGAGACAAGAGGTACCAGCATTTCCAGGCCACTGCTTTGCTCACTGCTGTCCAACACAATCCTCTTTAGTATCTGTAGCTGTTCATTTCAATGCCCCAAATTTTGCTTCAGGTGTTTGGATGGCTTGCATATTGCCATTTCATGCTGCACCTTTCTTCCTTAAGGTTCCTGAAACAAATCCATGCAGCTCTGAGTCCCTCCTTGCAGACCGGCTTATGAGTCCTCTCTTTAATCCCCAGCATCTTTGCAAAAGTGCTTTTAGAAGTGTCATGAACCCAAACATCTTCCTGGACAGTTGCAGTTTCCTACACAAGATCATGACCTTAAATCTCAAAACCGCGGTATAACCTGTTATAAATAGCAGGGGCTTTCAGTCCAACATAAGGCTCTGGTAGACTGTTCCAAATTCAAGTTCAACATCTTCCAGTGTGTGAAATTAAAATCAGAAAACATCCTAAAAGCCTGAGCATTTCTGTTTCTTGTGATCTACAGTACTAACTCTTCCCCTGCATCTTTGGTATTATTGCTGTAAGATCATTGCTTTTAAGGTTCTAAATCTGTGTTTTTAGGACTCCTGGGGCAACTTGCTCACATCTTAGCCTTAGTGACTAGTAGACAATAAGTACTTGTAGTATAATGCATTATTCTCCAATAATTTTCATTTTCTCCTCTTCGTTCCCACAAGAAGAATATCTATCCCCGTTCCATTGACGTTGGCTTTGCCAGGTTTCTTTGCTCCGCTTAACAGGATGCTAGTAAATGCAATGCAGCACAGGTAGAAAATGTGTTCATGCAGTTAGACCTACTCACTTGGACCTCTGCCGTAGCCATGACAAAGTTTATGGTCCCAGAAGGAGTTCGAGAAGTGTGGTGAGCAGGGCTCAACTGCTCTGGCTGGGCTCAGTTTAGATCAGCCCCTTTCCACTCAATCCAATGCATGAGCTAAAGAAAAGCCTATAAGTGCCTGCCACTGTGATCTCAAAGTCATTTCTAACATCATAGCGATAGCAAACCAATCAATGAGGACACAAATTATCAAGTATTAGGACTGCAGGATTGTCATACAGCAATTCTTTATCTCCTAGGGAGTAACAAGAGAGAAACTAGGTCTTTATCACTAAAAAATACCCTAATACCTGTTCCTTCTCCTGTGGAAACAATGACATAAGAGCACATGGACACATGTGAAAGTTAAAAGACATAACCTATAAACTGTTATAACTTAACACCAGTTTAAGTAAAGTACAAAATTTTCCAATTTTCTTTTATAATCTTTTTCCTTCCCTGACCTTGTCTCCATCCCATAGATCAGAAAATTCCCCCTTTTCAGAACAACTGGGCTGTCCTGAAGTCACACTGGGCTGGGGAAAAAAATCTAATCCCTGCTGTAATAAAATGCTTTATAAGAACCAAGAACTCCCAATAAGCATATAATTGAACTTGTTTTTACTGCTGTGGTAGAACTGGACTGAAAATTAAAAATTCATTACCGAGTGCAGTTTACAGAAGCTATGTTTCAGCTCCTTGGAAAAGGTTCCCAATTCACTCAATTTAGCAAACATAAGAACACAAAAATTATCAAACCAGGTCAGATCCCTAGTACCCTTCAGCACAGAGTTCTGACAGTGGAAAACAGCAAAGTTGCCCTTGCTGAAAAGTTAGGCTGCAAGCAAAAGACCCCTGATAGCCCTTAATAAATCATCCTGGACCTGTCATTCAAGTTAGCTTATGAGAGCAGTAACAAGTACCAGACTTGCCCTATACTGCAAAAATATATAAAAACAGACAAATAGAGGAAGCCACTGTTCTCAGGCACTGCAGAATTATCCCTGGGAACAATTCCCTAATGAAAGTACAGTGAATTGAAGTCTAAACGAGGAATGGGGGTCCTGCTGAGCTGAAGAGGCAAAGATCAAAGTTGAGGGCAGCTGAATCAGTGGAAATACGGGACAAGGCACTGGAAAAGAGACAGTTTATCAGCAGGCACCACTGAAGTTTGTGTGGGGGTTCCCCAAAAGTCCTAGTCCAAGGGCCCAGCTCACGTGCACAGGATGAGACTGAGGTTTACAATAGAATGGCAGCTATGAGCTTGAGAATGAACTGGCCTTGCTAGAGAACTTTGAAGTCTATCACAATCCAAATGTGAAAACTACATCTCATTAGCTCCTTGGCTACCAGCTGAGGTCTGCAAAAGGCTTCTTCTCAGGAGCAAGGACCACTAGCTAAAATAAGATAGACTTTAGGTCCACCTCTCCAAAACTTCAACCAAGCACTCACAAGATCCACAAAGGAAAGAGCTCAGAAGTTGAATCCAAACAAATAGAGGGCTTGCTAGCCACCATGCTTAGGCTTTCTACACTTAGGGCACAACTATAACACCAAGTAAGCAAACCATGTACTAAACAAAAATAAATTATCTTCAGAGGAAGATTACAGAACCCAGTGTCTCTACAACATATCACCAGTGAAGGGCACACAAATATTACAAGGTGTGAAAAAAAAAAACATAATGAAGAAAAAAAACAGTAAAGAGAAGTTGCACCCACTCAAAAATCTCTATATAAATGCTTAAAGCAGCCCCATGCATAATAACCAAAAAGTTAAAACAACTTAAATATTCTTCAGTGGGCAAATGGATGAACAAATTGTCACACCTCCATACAATGGGACGCCACGCCACAATAAAAAGAAAGAAACTACTGGATATTTACAACACCAAGAAGGACTCTCACAGGCATTTTTGATCTAGAAAGAAACCAGTCTCAAGAAGTTGCAAACCGAGAGAAGGCAAAATTACAGCTACAAGAGAACAGAGTAGTATTTGCAGAAGATCAGGGGTGAAGAGGGTTTAACCACATGGTGGCAGCAGAGTAAGTTTTCTAGGATGATTGAATTATTCTATGTCTTCATGGTGGGATGGTGACACAAATTAATACGTATGTTAAAATTCACAACAACATTAAAAAATTAGCCAGATATGGTGGCACATGCCTGTAATTCCAACACTCTGAGAGGCAGAGGAAGGAGGATCATGAGTTTGGGCCCAGCCTGTGCACCTTAGTGACTTAATGAGACCTTGTTTCAAAAAAAACTAAAAACTTTAAAAAATAAGCAGAAAGCCTGGGGATGTAACTCAGTGCAAAGATACTAGGTTCAATGCCAAGTACCATAAAAAAAAACACTAAATTTTACTGCACATCAATTTTTAAAAATAACAAAGTTGGAAAAGAAATAGGATTTAAAGTGAACACTATAAATATATTCATTCTAGTAAACTCAATAACAAAATTATTATACTACTTCTGAACCAACCAAAAATGGACAAAGGATATAGCCCGACCATTCACAGGCAAGAAAACACAAAATGCTATTAAGTATATGAAGAGACGTTAACTCACTTTTTTACTCACCGAGTTGGCAAGGATGACAGACCCTGAGAATACATTGTGGGGGTGAACATCTGGGGTCACACTGGTGGTAGGCTGATGTAACTTCAATGAAGGGAAAATTGCTGACATCCATCGAAATGTGTAAACCATTTATATACAATTCCTCACAGCAAGTACATCTTCCAAAATTTTTTCTATTAATGTATTTGCACATGCGTCCATGACTTAAGAACCAAATAATTTATTGAAGTCATTTTTATTAGTAAAATGTAGGGGACAACCTAAATTTAACCAACAGATTGGCTAAAGTATAGTATACACACCTACATACATACATACACTCCAATAAATATTAGGATATGAAGCAACCCTTATAATGAAAGAGAAAGGTTTCAAGATCTAAAATGAAATATCATTGAATATTATTAAGTGGAAAATGCAAGGTTAGAAAAAAACACCCTAAAGAAAGCTACTGTTTAAAATAAAAATACAAAAAAGATTCCTGAAATTCCATGAATGCATAAAATATCTTTAGAAAGATACCCAAGAAATGGTTTAAATGGTAGCCTCTGGAGAGGAGACCTGTATGGCTAGGGACCTGGGGACAGGAGAAAAATATTCCATTCTTCACCTTTTGTCTCTTTTAATTTCTGACCCAGGTGATTGAATGACCTATTCTAGGTAAATAAAAATTTTAATCCATTAGAATCTTTTGGAAGTTAAGTGTTTTGGCTTACATTGTTTGAAATCAATCTTCTACTAAGTGAAAATATTAATTATGCTACAGAAATCTTTGCCATAGGACAGGGACCAAGAGAAGCCTAATGCTGCTCACCACACCTTGCCTTATAAGGTCAGAGCTGAGTTAGAACACAATAGCCCAGTACAAAGGAATCCCTTTAAGTTCATAAGTATTTGGAAAATGTCTATACATCATTGTGAATTACATAATGATTACATTTCCTATGGGGAGTTAGTATATACGTGTATATAAAACATCTCAGTTCTTTCCCTCCCCCTCTGCCCAACTCTTGAGCCCCTTACCATTTGAGAAAGAGCTATAGCCCTACTTCCTCTTATCTATTTTTTAATTTGTTCTTTATTTATGTTGGGCTTGTCATATAAGAGAAACTATGTGATATCTAAGCTTGTGTGTCTGATTGATTTCAGTTAGCATTTTCTTTCTAGCTACTTTTATTTCTGTCTTTATCACATATGTGAGATTCTCTTGTGGTACAATGTGTAGCTCCATTTTTATCACTTGCTTTATTTTGGTTTTTATCTCAAGTAGGAATATGTCATAATTTGTTTATCTATTCTTCTGTTGATCAATGTTTGACTATTTCCATTTGTGAACTGTTATGTATAAACCAGCTATGAACACGATTTCACAAGGTGTTGATTGGATATATAATTCATTTCTCTATCATAAGCACCCTGGGATGGAATAACTGAGTTGGAGAGTAGGTATATATTTAATTTTTCAGGAAGTGCAATTAAAACCACAGAGATATCACTTTTCACTCAACAAAATAGGTATAAATAAAAAATGCTAATGACCTTGAGTCCTGACAAGAACACAAATCAACACTCTCCTTAAAGTGAGACTATAAATTGTGTATTCGATGCAGTATGGACTGCGGAGTTTGAGGTACTGTCATTTCCTCCCTTCTGGGCATTTGATACCTAGTAATTAATCCAACTGACTCTGCCCCGGCACCTGCAGAGCTCCCATCCCCCAACATTCGAATGT